ATATTATATAACTATTCGTTCGCATTAAATAAAACTTTTGCTTGGTCATTCAGTCGGCTGCCACTAATCTGTGCCGCCTTAAACATGGACGCCATATCAGCCACTTTTGTCCCACTTCGTTGGCTTCTCATCGGCGGTGGTTGCGGTGGCATACTTGCTAATGTTGTTTCGCTTATTTCATGTAGGTTTGCTTGTATGCGTTGGTACCTTTCTTGCTGCACTTTTATTTCGTTCTGACAAACGAGTACATTTTCATCTATTGTATGTGTGACCTCCAACTTCTTGTTCGTTAAGTCGGTAAAACTCAAGGCACTGTTCAAACTTTTGTTTAGGCCCTTTAACATTTCGCCACAGTCATATCTGTCAAATAACCGGAACATAAAACTCTTATTACTATATTATTATTTAAACATAAAGCAACTCTAATCTACCTATGTATCTGATTAGTTAGCCGTGTGTCAAAGAGTGGTGGTGCCAGCGGGGATCGGAGAAGGGTGAAAATTCCCTTAGGACAAGCGACCTCGTCGGTAGACGTCACGACTGGGTCGTCGGGCTAAAAATATTATATGTCTATCCAAACACATTGTGATTGCAATTCCATAATATTGTGCAAAATCTCTCCCCATGAACTCTACCTGGGATTTTCATTCAACTTCGTAATCGTTATGCTTTAATTGTTGTTTTATCTAAGTTTTAATATTAGTTTTATATATATATATATATATAGGCCTATATATAAAAAACAGTTGTATTTGAATTAGGTATATATTTCGTTAAAAATAACAAGCAAACAACAAGAAAAAAACAATAAACGAAGTACGAACAAAATGAAACAAATGAACAATCAAACAAACATCAAGCGAGAGAACGAATGAAGAAATATTAACCTTAATGTAAGAATATCAGTTTTTAGACTTGTTATGTCCTTTTTCGAGATGTTTGCTTCAGCACTGCTTTCCTCAATGTTTGATTCGTGTATGAACCTCTCCACCAAAGTGCCAATCACACGCTTTAAAAAAAGTAAATAAATAGAATTATTAATCGCAATTATGAAATAATGTAACACTCATCATTTGCAATATGGAGATTACTTCTTAACCAGCTATAAAATTTATCCTTTACCTTATACTGGCGTTTAAAATAGTCGACACGAACGGGACTCTGTAAAAAATAATACTAACATATAAAATATCATGATCATCGTTGTTGGTGGTGCTACTACTACTACACTAACTGCAATATTAGTACTACTGGGTATGGTTCTGATGGGTAAAGCCGACCTCCTAAGGACTCCGAAAGTGTAGGAGTATAACAGGTGGGGTACAAAGTGTCTAATGTAAGGGAAGGTCTACCGCCGCAGTTTAAGACGCGCAACGTCAGTCATGAGCAGGATTGTCGTACCGCCTATTGTACCAGTGTGGCGACGGAGGGGTCCGAGCCAAGGGGCCGACAAAGCCTCGATCGATGGCCCGGAATAAAAACTCCCTTGTAGGGTTCGGGGAGAGCTTTCAGGGCTTCGTATGGTCCAATATGTGCTTTTAGACCACAATGAGGGATTGGCAGTCAAAATAACGTTATTTGGATAAGTAAATTATTATTTTTTTTATTATTTTGATCCGACGACCTGGTCGTGCGCAGGACGGGAGCGGGGTCCAGCCCTGTCCATCCTGGGGAAGGTAAATGCACTAATTCCCCCACCACACGCTGGCGCCACCACTGCATTGGACCTGATAATCTTCAAAAAAGGAAATTAGCAGGCAGCAGCAGAAGTAGCAGTAGGACTAGTAGTAGCAACAGCAGCAACAGGTAGTGTAGTAAGTAGTACTCGACGTACAGCATAGCAGGAACTCAGGCCAGTAGGCAGGATTTTCGATGGGGAGATGCGTTTTGCGAGCGAAGCGGACCTTAGACTGGGGAGCCAGGACCCCGTGGGTCCAGGACCCCCGCGAGGCGCCCGGAAGCTCCGACAATTTAGTATTTTGAATGCCTTATAAATGGATTTCTATTCTATTTAAATTTCTATTCATTTGGGTATTGTTACCGCCTAAAGTTGTAATTTTGTGTGTCTTATACATTTGATTGTTTATAATGGATCATCTGCAATCAATGGAGCTGATGATTTCGTACTATAGCATTTGAAACGTTTTTATACTGAATTGAGAGGGATATTTACAAAATGAACTTCTGAAATTTTTAGGTCGAGTGGGTGTTGGGGACGAAACCCCCCGTACTCTCCGACAAAGTAGCGGACCTGAAGAATTAACATTTTATGTCCTTTACATCCGTAGGACTACTGATAAAAATTTGATTTCTCAACCTATTCGTGAATACTCTATTTAAATTTTCATTATTTTGTGTTGTTAGGACCTGAAGAAGTATCGTACCGTTTTATGTCCTTTACATCTGTAGGCCTATAGATGACATTGTTCATATGGATCAATTTTCAATCATCGGGGCTGATCGTTCCAACAAATTTTATACCACAGTTATTACAAATCAACAGTTAGAATAGAAATATAAAATTCAATGCATATTATACCGTAGCATTTAGCAATAATTAGGAACAATATTGTGAAATAATAAGTTGAAAAATGTTGAAATTTCGGGGGAGGGGTGAGTCCGCCTGGAACTATTTGATACCTTTTCTACAGCATCTTCGTTTCTACAACACTTTCTGACTGACGGTAATAAATTGAATGGTGGCGGCAACTCGATATCAAACGTCATATACGTCATCCACGCTGCAGTTCTTGAGAACTTCCACTCAACGTCTGCATTTTCCTGTAAGTACATAGTTCTGTTACTACATGAAAAAATTACAAATGATCTCAATAGGTGACAGCCGCTGCAGACTGTAAAGGAGCAGGTTATTTTGCTTACAAACCTTCGAAATACACCAATCGACTATTTGGATGAAGAATTGCTTAGTTTCTTGTTGTTTTCTTTTTATAGTCGTTAATAGATATGTAAATTGATAAGCCTATAAAATTTCCAAGGTTGGACACACAATTATCTGTAACACAGATAAACTGAATCTTTGGTCTGATCTGCCACACTTTATATAAAATTACGGTGATATTTAATGGGATTTATATACATA